TCCTAATTAAAATTCGCCAAAGGAATACATTATGTTGCTTGCTTTCTCTCTATCTTTCTTTCTTTCTTTCTTTCTTTCTTTCTTATTCTCTCGGTCTTTTTATTTATTTTTTTCTTTTTTTTTTTGTTCATTCTGTGGTCACAGAGCGACCCACGCTTGAGAACAACGCCCACCGTGAGGCCGATTTGACACTTCATTATTCGCCGGCACTGCTGAGGCCTGTCATTAAAACGAGATTAGTCCCGTAATCGTAAAAGTTAGTTTTCAAGTATGTCGACGAAGTCTACCAAACAAGTCCCCCCCCCAGCCTCCCCCCGCCTCCCTTCTAAGATTCTTTTTTCTTATGTTTTAAGAAAAAAAGAACAAATGATCCATGTGAGGTTTAATTTTCTTCCGATAATTTTTCTTCCTATGATTTGTTTAAACTGATGACATAATAATTTGAGATAAATTTTCATAAATCATCGTCTATACGAGTCGTAGAAATAAATAGTCGTAGACTTTTTAAGTCGTGGTGTAAGTGAAGGTGAAAAAAAAATCTTTTTCTAGCATTTTTTTTTTTTTACTCTTTTTTTTTTTAAGGATAAACGTTAGATAGAAAACGAGCGGAGAAAATGTAATGCAAGGCTCGTCGAAAGAAGAAAACGGGAAAAGTTTTCGGAGTGGATGGCTCGGGCTCTTAACATAGGGTAAAAGGGGATCGTTTTATACGATTTTATAGCTCGTGGCAGACAGACACGGGGTAATACCGTAAAGGAGGGATGAAACTTAACTCGAATCGAAACGCTAATGTATACGCGTATGCACGCGTACTTTCATATATATATATATATATACGTATATGTATTTGTCTAGTACATATATATATATATACATTTAGACAACGTTTCCTGAATCGGGGTTAAGCCACGCTTCGGTGAATTTTGTTGAACAAGAAGATGCAACGTCGTGATTGTTCAGTCAAATCCGCCGAAAAGGGACGAGGGTGGTGGCGCACGTTACCGTCAGGCAACGCGTCCTATCCGATTTTCAAGCGGCATACATACATCGACTACGTGCATACGTAAATGCTTCTAAAGCTTGGTTGCTAAAGTGCCACCAACTTGTACAGCTTATTCAGGATTAATGTCACGTACTTGCTTGTTATCGGACAACGTAAATTCTACTATTCTCCTTTACCTAATATCCTTTCTACGTCCTGTTTTTCTATAATATTTTTATATATTTTATTTTTTATTTTTGTACAGAGAATGAGGATTATAATCATAATAAGATTATGAAGAAAGTTAAGTGGATTTGTTTTTTATTATAGGGTTACACGTTGATATTATATTAGAAGTGATAATTTGGAAAAGAAAAAATTGAATATTGTTAGGAAAAAAAAAAAAGCAAGAGAAATACAAAAAGAGAGAAGAATTTCGAGTTGTTTATATTTTTTGGATTTTTTAGCGAAAAAGGAAAGTTTACTACCAGCTCGGTGCCTCTTCTTCTCCCCCGAGGTCTCCGAAGAACACTCCTTTGTCTCTTTATGGTCCGAAAGTGGCCCATGGAAGCGAACGATGCACCGTGCAAGTTCGCAGCCGCCATATCGACGCCGCCGCCACCACCGCTACCACCACCATCGCCACCACCGCGGTTACAGTCATCTTCTTCTTCTTCTTCTTCTTCGTCTTCTTCTTCTTCATCTTCAACGCCACGAAGAAGTACGGTCGGATAATAACGAGTTTCGCTGTCGTCCCTTTTCGCCCTTCGCGTAACGCGAGTCGTAAAGTCGAGCGTGCGCTCTCCTCTCCTCTTCTCTTCTCTTCTCTTCGAACTCTCCTTCTTCCCATATTTTTTATTTTTATTTTTTTTTCACTTTATTTCCTTCCTTCTTTCTCCGACCAACAATTTTTCTTCCTTTTACTTGTTTCCTTGTTTTCTTGTTTTTTTTTTTTGCCAATGCAGACGACGATGTCAAATTTTTATTGCACCAACCACCACCCAGCCCACTCTCGAAATGCCGTCAGCATTTTAAAATACCTTCCGGCACATACTTTTTTCGGCTGCTTCTATGGTTTCTTTTTTTTCTTTCTTTTGAAAATCAACCGAAATTATCCCCGATTGAGTGATCTCGCTCGACCTAACCCCATGGTTCGTTCTTCTTTTTAAAAGATTCCTCAAATGATACAAGTTTGTACAAATTTTCAAGTGCCAACATCTGTCTTAAATGATCGTAACGATGTTTCCAATTTTACTTTCACGAAATTTGCGTCGTTTAATTAATGGTATTATATTAATGATTACAACAAATCGTGACATTCTTTATCAATTCTATTAATTTATTTTTTCAGTAAAGAGAAATTATGCTAGTTGTAATGGCAACATTTATGACAAACTTCGAAAGGAAAATTTACAATATCGTTATGAAAAAAGTAAATTAAATAATTAAAATAAGAATTTAAGTTAAAAGTTTTGAATAACATAAAAATATATTTCAACGTATCATTAAGTCTAACCTTTCATTTTGAAAAACAGATTATTACGAGCAGGTAGAAGATAAGAATTCTTGGGACAGATCATTTGAAGATGCTATGGAACCTCACGATGCACAACCACAAGGTACTAAAATTCCACACCTGAGGAAAGATGATTGAAGACAAACAAATTCTTCCACGAAACATTTGTAATAAACAAATCAATCAAATGAAACATCAATTTAAACATTTCTTATTTAACATTAAACAACACAATTCAATAATTGTACAACAAATAATTAAAATTATTGACTGAATCGAAAAATACAAAACAAAAATTGATTTTATAATTTAATTGATATTACAGAATGTATGTAATATTTTGTTGTCAATTAGTTAACTTAATCCAATATGTAAAAATGACCGAACTAGCGTAACAAAAGTTATCTGACGCGTTGGAAAAAAAATTGTAACAAATAGAAAAAGAAAAAAAAAATATATATGTCGGGTATCAGGAACGAAATAGAAAAAAATCGACAGGCTGTAACCATTGTGCATACATTTGGTATAACAGCGTGTTCCCGTGTTATCCTACGGGACACGGAGAAAAGATCAGGGGCAGGAGGGGTGAAGACGCATTACCAGATTGCCTCACGCCGTTCGTATTCACCGGTCTTTTACATTCATGAAGCTTTTATTCGCTTGATTTGCCTATACGCTTCTCGTATTCACGGCTCTCGATTTGATTTGCATTGATTGGAGTGCTGCTGCTGCCCTTTTTGATACCCCTAGCCCGGGTCTTTTCTACCTAACGCGACGTTATAGCAAACGCGTCGGATGTGTACTGTTTGGTTGGTAAGTACAATGAGAAATGTTGATCGTTACTACAATTCTTCGAATAATAAACAATTGTATTTGTCATAATTTTCTTTTATAAAACAGAAATCACGAATTTATTTGTTAAACATGTAAAATGAATTTTAATCAAATTTCGTGACAATGTTTGTTACACAAATTTTTCTATTTTTAATCGAGGATATTTTAAATTGATTAAATAATTAAAAGAAAATAATTAGATTTAACAGAGAAATTTGTAGTAGCAGTAATGTTGGTCGCATCTTAGTGACGAACGACCGGTTGCAAATCGTGCAAGTATCTCACGTTAAGGTAATTTCGGTCGTAACTAAAAGACCGCAAAGGTCTTCGACGAAGAACATCGTTCCTCGATCCGTTGATGATTTATGCCAGACCATGCGGGAATGGTTACTTTGAAGTTTCAACCGAGCGAAAGTTTTACCGACCAAAAGTAGAGAAGTTCGACACAAAATATCTATGTGCGAATGTAAGCTAAGTGTAAGTTTTGTTATAAAAAAAAGAAATTGTCAGAATAAATGATTCACTATGAAAAATCTTCAATGATGACTTCGATAAGAAATTATTCAAACGGATTTCTAAGGTTGACTTATAAAAAAAATTGTCGCTTATACTAGTCAAGTTTAAATTCCATCTTGAAATTAAAAAAAGGCTACCGTTTGTCGTAATGTCCTGTTGTAGTCTAACATGACCGTAAAGCTCGATGATTAATCGATTTCTCGAGAGAGAAAAAAAAGGAAAGAAAGAAAAACCTGTCGACGATCGAGAGAAGAAACAGGGGAACGAACGTTAGCAAAAGAAGCCGACGAGAGACGCAAAATATTTGGGGACAAAACCCCGAGTGACAAGACCGAGTCATTAATAAAAATCATTCTCTCGTTATACTGAAAATATTTGTACCTTAACAGTCGTCGTTGAACACTATGAACACCCTCGCAGCAACAGCATCTCGCGGCTCGTGAGGAGATCTCTGGATGAACACAGATGAAAAGAGTGTAAAGGATAAGAGAAGATCAACGTGTTTAATCGTCACGGAATGAGTATGAGTTTTTTTCTTCTCTTCTTTCGTCTTTTTATCTTATTTTTTTTTTCTTTTTGTATTTTTACGCGCACGGCATAGAAAAAAAGAAAAAAGAGAAAAAAGGGTGGGCCACCTGGAAACTCTCCCAGATAAAATTGATTCGTACGCGTATTTCGCGGCGACCTGGACCGTGATCGTGTAGCATCATTCATCTCTCTCTCCTATACTATTAGTACTGTTATTTATGGTTTAAAAAGTCTATAGATCGTGGTAGGCTATTATGTATCCGTATCGAGACCACGTCCACCGTCGTTGATTTATGTGTCCGCGCAAATTGCCGCTTGTCCTTTGTATAAGACGTTGGAAAACTTGGACGATTAAATCCCATGCTAGAAATATCGGATTGTAATTTAGTTAAATGTACAAAAATGTTCTATACTTCTGAGAATAACGTTTTATCATCGACATCATTTAATTGCACCGTTGTACCAATTAACGTCATATGATATTTTTCTATATATAGATCAAATATCACATTTTTACATGAAACAAATAAGTGAGTTCTCGCAAACAACCAATAAGAAAATCAGAACAACTATGACGACTGATTAAAACTGATTAAAATTTCAACAAGACACACCTTTATCATTTTACTCGTCAAGTACTTTAAATACTTCAAAAGTTGGATAACGTCGCAAACATAACAGCTGGTGTTCCTTTTGCATAATCAAAAGTTCTACATAATTATGTTGAAGTTCCTTGATCAGATCGGATCTCTTCGTGATCATCTGCATCTTCCGGTCCACGAACCGACTTTGCTTCTCTTCATTGATAAGATCACGGCTGTGCTCCATCTCGCACCTTACCACGTTCATGTTCATTATCATAAGATCGAGAAGATCGTTTTTCCTCTTGGTTCTATCGATCTTCTCATCGACCTCTTTGAGTCTCTTAGCCCATTCAACGAGGCTTTTGCCAAAATGATTTTGCATGGTTTTGAGTTCCCTTTCCAAACGTTGGGCTGTCCTGTCCTCTTTCAAACCTCTAACCCTTCGTTTCAAATATATCCGTATCTCTCGAGTGACGTTTGTACCTCGTATGAAACGTAAATCATCTTGAAGATCATCGATACGCATCTTTAATGTTCGATGTACCCATTCCTTGTTCCGTATCGTCTTCAGAAAATTAATCTTATGCCCTACCGCCTTTAATTTAAATTCTCCCGCCTTACCAATCAACACGTTAGCTTCCTCGATCACTTTTCTAGGTATCAGAATTGCATTTATGGTTTCGTCGCAATTACCACGTAAATTTATCTCCACCTGACCAATTCTCATAACCATTTGTATCTCCATGTTCAAATCAAAGATTCTTCTGTCTTCGTTCATTTGATTCAATGTTTGTCTAAGCTCGCGTGCTTTATTTTGACATTTTTTCAATTTTTCACTATAAAGATATACTTTTCTTTCAGCTCGATCAATTTCTACTTGCTGTGCTTTGATCTTCAATTCCAATTCGATTCGTTGACGTCGTATTTTTTTTAAATGTTCCCAATGATTTTCTTCTATCGAAGATGGTAATGTACTTGGTCGTAAATCCAATTCGTCAATGATTTTCAAATATTCTTTACATATGATTGGTAAATAAATTAATTTCGTTCGACTAATCACGCATCTACTTAGATCGAGTAAATCAGTCATAGTGACGTTCTTTAAATTGGTTCTCGGTCGACGTTTGTATTGACGTGAAAGAAGATCCACGGATGATCTACCCAATGATGGAAATTCTAATCTAAACTTTTTGTCTAAAATTTTCTCACGATTGTACATTGCTTCCATTGGCATTAACAAATTTTTCTGAACATTTTCAAATTTTTCCAATTTTTCTTTAAGTGTCGTCTCGGTTTGTTGATGTTTCGCAATTTCGTTTGATATTTTCTCATAATTTTCAATATTTTTAACGCGTGTATAATTTCGTAGAAGACCACGCACCTTACGAAATTCCATTTGTTTGATAGCAGCTTTCAATTTCAATTTCAACTAAAAAAATAATCAGAACAAAAATGAATAAATTTATACAAACATTTTGTACTTCTTTTTTTACTAACCAGGTATACTTCGTTTAATTTAGAATTAAATTTATCAATGCCCTCTTGCAATGAGGATTCCACTTTAATGTAATCAGCTTCTAACATTTTTTTATAACGTTCACGATTTTCCAAAAGATTTTCAACATCAGCTTCATATTTTTTCACTTCACGAATATCCTCAGCCGTATAATCTTCCGGTTGTTTGATCAGCATACACTTGGGTTTAGGTATGTCCTTCTTAATAGTGTCTTCCCATCGAACTTCCAATACACCATCCATCATTGCCATAAGTGCACGTTCACGAAAATCATCGGCTAATAACAATTGTCTGATCCTTTCAGCTTCGATAGCTTGTTTGTCTAAAATTTCTTGTTGCGACGGTGAAATATAAGGTTTAACCTTAACTTCGTGATCCAAAACTCGTATAATTCTTTCAGGTTGTTCCTAGTTCGATGATTTTAATTAAATATCTTATATCTTAATAATAATTTGTATGATACACGCATACCTTAATATGCCACGTGGGTTCTGAAGGCAAGCATGGCAACGAACGATCGAACATACTTTTTAATTCTGAATCAATGTAACGTATCCTTTCGATTTTATCCCCAATCACTTTCATTTCGCGTTCCTTTTTCTCATAAATCTCATTAAAAATCTTATTGAAGTAAGATCGTAGTTTATTACAATCGTCCATCAGATAATGATTGTTCAGTATCACCTGAAAGAACCCATAAGATTCCATCTGCGAGTAATAATAAGGGGATGGCTCGATGAATCGGTGGCTCGTCATACCTATGAACAAAATGAAAGAGAGGGAATCAACGTTATAGTATAATATTAATACGAAAGATCCGATCGATTCTTACCAATCTGTCAGGAATTTTTGTATACCTTCGAAAGCCCTTTGCTCTTCTATCTCTTCTTGGTCGATCTCACGTTCCTCATCTTGCAAGAGTTCCTTCATTCTTATCCTTTCGTCTTCGCGAATCAATTGTAATGGATTAACCGTGGCAAGTTTAAACTGAGATTCGGTATAAATACGCCATGCTCGAAAATAAATGGGTTTATTGATGCTTTGTAAAAATTGTCTTTGAAATATTGCAAAATCAGTGGCTTCTCTAACATTAGGATTTTCAACAAAGAATGGAAAATTCGTCACTTCGAAATAACCGGTTATGGAAAAGATCGACTTGGCAAGAATCTTTTGTAAATCCCAATAATTTGTTTTAATCCATGCAGCAATATGGTCCATAGAACTGCAATTGAACTCGTGCTCCAATCGCTTATCTTCTCGAGCATCTTTAGCTACTTTCATCGCGTGTTCGCGTTCGGCCTTGTCGAGGTCGAAATCCGACACCGGTAACCTCTCAAGCTCTGGAACGATTTCGTTCTTATTCAACATTTCTACGACGACGTTCTTCAGAACCAAGAAGTCCTTCATTATACTACTTCTTTCCTCGGCGCATACATTTTCTTCTTCCTTTAATATTTTCCTTGCTATCCAATCGACCCAGGTCAAATCGATCTCCTCTTCGAATTTATTTAATCTTCGTTTTGCCGGATTCAGTAGACTAACCAACGATGTAGTCAAGGTACCATAATCATCAAGTATACCATTTTCTTCTTTCTCAGATGTAAATTCATCAACTGGATACAATTTCTTCGTAACATCATCCTACGCTAAATAAAATACAATTTTTATTCGTTTCAATTGACAAACACACATAAACTTGACATCAATTTTACCATTTGTTCTACTTTTTTCATCCCCACCAACGAACCATCATGACCAAGGACAACAGCCAAATTAGCATTAGGATTAACCAGACCTTTAACAGTTCCAAAATCCTGTCTATGATGTGTCATCATAGTCCCTACAATTTCTTTAATCAACTTATCTCTGACGATGATCAAACCATCGTATGCAGCAGTTGTCAACCAATTACGATCAACAAAGAGACGTGCACAACGGTAATTATGATTCGTTCGCATTGAATTGACGATTTTGATGATGTTAGATTTTGTTTCTAATAATTTCAATACGTGTAAGTTTCGTGTCAAATAAGGTGTACCCACAATTAATTGATGATTTCCAGGTACGGTATAAATATTACGAAATGGGGCTTGTAAATTCAATGTTGCGATCATTTCATCAGAGCTAACTTGTTCCTTGGACACCTCATAAATGGCAATTTTTTCTCCAACGAGATATTTTATCGATGTGACGATTAAAGCAAATAATTTAATACCCTTTCGAGAATCAAATAATAAAACATCGTTGATTTTTCTTTTCAAACGAACTTGGCCTATCACCGTGTACGAATTATCTTTTAAACTGATGCAAAAACAATCACCAGATATTTTATAACCCACAACGAGAGACCTGTGATGAAAAAATTCATTTATTGAGTCAGACAAATATTTTTTATTGAAAATTATGTCAAACCTGCCAGAGGAAGAAAATTTGATCAAATCCAGTGGTTTTTTATACAATCTCATTTTCAAAATAATCTCAGGATTCTTTGGATCGATCGTACTAATCATCAATACTTCACCCTGATTGGTAGTCAATGTGATCAATGGATAATCTGGATGTGAAGCTTGACAGGAAATATCACCTATCGTTTCTGGAGATATTTTTCCTATTTCTAATCCACTTTTACACTCTAATACAATCAAATCTTTCAAATCTTCACTGATCGCTACCACATGATGACACCATGGATATATAAAATCAAGATAACGATACTTAATACCATGATGCAAATATTTTTCTACCGTAGGTGTAGTTTGGTTTTCCACAAATTGAATTTGCATCAAATGTCTTTCGATAGTGTAATAAAATAACCAATCATCTTTTAAAGGATGTGTCACCAGTATGTAAGGTTTGTTCGTAGATTTGATAGACCTGTTAGATCGAAACATTAAACAAATGTAAATGCAAATGTTATTTTTGTAATTATTAGAAACACATACCACAATTTGTTCCAAGTATTAGAATTAGTATCCTTTTTGTAATAACGTATTTGACAAAATGTAGTTTTCAAAATGATTCCATTACGATACCAACAAACAATTGGATTCTCATATTCTTTACATACTTGGCAATGTTGTGATAGGATAATACGATGCACATCAGTACCATCCTCGTTACTCAAATATACATGACCATCATGATCAGTGATCGCTAAAATTGGATCACACGGTGATGGACACCAATCTACCCAACGTATCTTCTCATCTTTTGGTAATTTTATCTCATAATCTGTACTGCACATTTTCATATTTAAAAAGAAAAAAGTATTAAAAATGTAAATAGAATTCAATTTAATTCTATATACCTTTAACAATGCAAATCTTGCCGATAACGTCAACACTCCATACAAACAATTTGCCACAAGTTTTTCCCATTTGTGCTACGAGTGTTGGTCCAATTTGATTAATTTTGAGCATTTGTCCTACGTCATCTCGAATGTGTGTGTTAACTTCGATAATTTTATCACCAGTTTTCCAAGACCAAAGTGTCATTGGAAAATGAGGAAAATAACCAATTGACAGTAGATAATCGTTTGCGGTAAATGCAGTTGCCAAATAACCACCTTTGGATCCACGTACGCATTCGGAAATCTTTGTTAATGAAGGATAATGATATATCAGGATTCTAGGTTGAAGTGTTTTTTCAGAAAACGCAAATATCGAATGGGTGGTATGTGCTGAAAGACAACAAGCACCATCACCAGTACTCTGATCAATGCAACGTTTTATGAATCGTTTTTTGCTACTAATTTGTAGAAAAATAATATGAACACCAGTGGACCAAGCGAGAACGTCTCTGCCAATAAAAATAATATCTTCAATCTTTTCACCACGTATCCAACCTGGAATCCACGTGCTTTCAGTGGTCATTTCTATATTTTTTTTTTTTATATCAATAACCTAAAAACTAAATATCCTTATTATCAGTTTTCTTGATGTTTCGATGTTTTTCAATGTGATTGAATTTCGATAAATCTCGTTTACTTTTACAAATCGAAACCAAAAAAAAAAGAAGTCGAACGTTCTAACTGAAAAGAAAAAGTCGTAATTAAATGTAATTAAAAAAAAAAAAAAAATAGAAAAAAAATACAGAAGTAGTTAGTTGTTCGTGATGGTAGATCGAGAACGAGTTAATCGGGCACGTTCGCAGACTCTTATCGGTTAGAGAACGGAGTTCCCGGCAAAGGTGAGTTTGGCAGGCTTAAGACAAAAGGTGATTAGGATACTCAGAGTCGATGCTGGTTTATAAAGACCCCCCCATTGCGTGGCGTGATGAGGTCAAGCAGCAGGGAGTCATCCGTATAGCAGGGCCCGATCAAAAACTTATCCTTGCAACGTGATATACTGCCCGTAGTGCTTGCTGAGACTAGTTTTTCTTTTTATCCCCTAGTATATCTTTCTCTCTCTCTCACTCTTCTTGTTTAAAAAAGAAGAAGGATCTGCATGGAGTCTTGCCCTTCTGAGACTGTGCCCTTTGCTTATCCAGAACTGAAGGATGCGTGCTTCTTGCATCGATCTAAGGACCCAAACCTACGTGGCCTTGCCATTAAAGTGACACCCGCTGAGATTTATATTTGCATAACTTATCGTCATCGACGTGTGATCATCGGTTTTTTCATAATATCTAAATATTATTTAGAAAGAAATAAATCAACATAAATAAAGATAATACTTAATTAAATGATTATATTTGAATTTCTACCAAATCTTAAGCTAGTACGCTATCATTACGAGTCACACACACACGCATACAATAGTACTGAAATGAAGAGAAGTTCTGTGAGATAGATGTAGAAGCAATACGATCGAAGGTCCCTTGGTACACAGTGTATACGTGTGTGAACTGTGGGAACACACGAATCCAGTAAAAAGAAAAAAATAAGAAAAAAAAAAGGAAACACGGGATCAAGAAAGAAAAGGAAAGAAATAGTCGTCGAATAAGGAAGAGAACAAGGAAGAAGAAGAAGAAGATGATGATGAAGAAAAGAGTGAGAGAGAGAGAGAGAGAGAGAGAAAGAGATGGCGGGTAACATTTAATCAGAGCCCACGGTGAAGTGCACGGTACGCGTATGTATATAGAAGCGGTATATGGTTCGGTTAGTTTTTGCTTGGGAGGTTGCCTGGAAATTGGCGCCAAATTAGTAAGGAGGACGAGGCGAGGCTCACGGTGCCTTGGGCTGCGTGACGCGAGACATTAAAAGTAACCTCTGCTCTTGTACACCCCCGTCCCTTCATCCCGGACTTCTCTTCCACCCCAAATCGGCCTCCTTCTCGTCTGCAACCCTCCTCCTCACTCCTCCGCCTTCTTCTTCTTCTTCTTCTTATCCTTTCCTTCCTTCCTTCCTTCTTTCTTCTTCTTTTCCTTATTTCTACCCATCGAATTCACAACAACAACCACCACCACCATTATCATCAGTGCTAGCACCATCGCTTCAACTTCCATAGACAACGTCCGTGATCCGTGGTGCTACAAAACGAGAAGATTTAGAAGAAACTCTTTCTTTCTTTCTTTCTTTCTTTCTTTCTTTCTTTCTGACTCGCCACGGTAATCACTACCGTCCAACGAAACTGAGAGAAAGAAAGAAAGAAAGGAAAGAAAGAAAGAAAATAAAAAGGATTCGCACTTACGTCGAACTAAGATGAAGAGAGAAAGAGAGAGAGATTGAAAAAGCACCAGGTTACTAGCTTGATTCTTTTCGTATAGAAAGAAAAACGAAAAGAGAGAGAGAAAGAGTTCAGGTCGGGAAAGGGTATCCTTCCCGATGAACTTCGTTTTCTCTTCGGCTAACGATAGCGCAAGAAAATTCTGAAAGTAGATATGATTTTTTAACGCGAATCCTTTCAAGTGTACCTTTCTTTCTCGAAAAGAAACCAATGAGTTAGTTCTCTTTGTTTTAAAAGAAGTTGAAGTAGAAGAAGTAGAAGAAGAAGAAGAAGAAGAAAAAGAAGAAGAGAAAACCATTAAGAACGTTCGTAAGAAATCGTAGAAAGGAAAAAAAAAACAAAGAAAGAAGAAAGCAAAAAAAGAAAAAGAGAAACGAAGAAAAAAAAAAGGAAATAGAAGTAGGAAAGGTGAGGAAACTGGCCGACGCAGTTCTCGTCGTTTCGTCGAAACAGCTGCATTTTAACGGTTGCATGTTTCGGTTTCGAACTGGTGCTAGATTATATGGATGCATCGCTACGATCACAGACAAACGTTTAAATCGCTAAACGTTAAATTATACGCGGCTCAACCGTCTATATACTATCCTCCGCCCATAAAAAATAATAGCACGCTCGGCATAGATTCGCCTAGCTCCCGATTTGGTATCTCTTCTTCTTCTTCTTCTTCTTTTTCATCTTCTTCATCATCTTCTTCTCAACAGCTGCGGTCATTTCTTCTATGGATTCTTCAGCACGTATTATAGATCACGTGTGTCGTATTTTTCAGGATAGAAACGATATATATATACATATAACAACGTTGTCGTATAGATAAAAGTTAGGTTATGTTCAAATGTTTCGCGCAGTTACCGAAATCTATGGCCAATATATGGCACAGGACTATATATAAATATATATAAAAAAATATTATAAATTATTTTATAAATAAATTAATGTAATAAAAACGTAGCTGTATGCGAATGCAACGTTGTATCAAAATTTCAAAACAATCGATAAAGTACTTTTGGAGATTACCGATTAGGCACAAACGAAATCTACATTTTTATATATATAGATATACAATTTTGCAATGTTTTTAATTAGTATCAAAATATAATAATAATCTTAATTATTATTTACCTAGAATCTAACCTTAGCATCTAACATGAATAATCTCATTGATGTGTACAACGGAACATATAAAATATATTAATATTACCAATGTGTCAAAAGATTATATTTGTATCGGACCACACACGAGGACGAGGGTTGGTTGGTTTCCTAGTCGGTAACATTAATTAACATTCGTCTTTATAGCAACTCGCTTGTGACTGCTAAGTATGAAGAAAAGGTATGCATGCATGCATGCATGCATGTTGCGGCGTGTATCAATGATGAAAGCTTTGACTCTCTCTTTCTTTTTTTTCTATGTATTTATGTATGCCGTCCCTGGCAAGCACCAATCAACAAAGCGATCCTAAAGAAAAAAAAACATATGAAGTAAAAGAGAGAGAGAGAGAGATAGAGAGAGAGTGAAAGAGACGAAGGTATAGCGTTGCCACGATGACATATGAGCTACCAGAGTCTTTGTGTCGCCATGAATACCACTTAAATTGGGGAACGAGCCATCAGGCCTCGCTACTGAATATCATCCTGATGCCGGAGCCGTCCGTTCTCCGCGATTTATCACCTCGTGACTCTTTACGATTAACGGATTACAAAATCTGCGTCCTTGCCTCTTTGCACCTTTTCCCCATTTTATATCTTTGAAAAGTATACTTAAACGTTAGTCGAACTAGAATTCTAATTGAAATTCCATAACGTGGTGAAAGTATCAACAACCGTTCTCACCATATTTTCCTATCGATTCATCATCTCACTTAGATGTCAACAAGTTTTCTCAATACACTTAATATTGTATAATTAGAAAATACTGAACTGGTTGGTATGGATGCTAAAATCATTTTGTTTTTTTTTTTTTAAATTTTACAATGTTACACGTCTTTCATGAACTATTAATGAATTTTAAGAATCCAACTTTTCTACTCGTCAACGGTGAATGAAAAAAAAAAAAAAAATAAAATGAGAGTTAGAAAATACAAGAAGCCATAGTAGATATATTTTCTCTTATTTTATTAGTTACATGAGTGAAGCTTGTAAAACAGGATCAAAGGTCGGAGGTTCCGGTTAACGCGCAACCGCTTCGCATGAGTGCAGTTGACGAGCACTAAAAATTTCGACTCTTTAGCGAGGCAGTGCGAGAAGGCTCCGGTATAGAGGCAGGTAGATATATAAGAAGCAGATGTGTCTGTCATTAATATGAACCGGCGAAGCTATTAATAACCGGTTAATGAGGACTATCTTTCTCTCTCTTTCTAACGTACCATCTCTTTCTGTCGTACGTGCGTGCGAGACGAAGTCCTGCTCGTAAGATAGGGTGAACGTATGCGTATATACACATCGCCAGCTCGTATTGTACTACTCGAGTATACCTATACGATTGTAGTGTATCGTCAAAGGGTTCCGGCAAACCTCGTGATTTATAATCGGCTATGTCCCTTTTTTATTTTTTATTTTTATTTTTCCACTCTTATTCTTCACGTTCCGATCGTCTACAAATTTTGAACCTCTTTTCTTCGAATAATAATATCGTACGTTAATCTTTGTTTTCGATGTAGTGATTTTGTTCGTAATAAAAATAATCTTTTAGATTAAAAATCTATACGATACTTTGCAATATTATTAATTATATCTTGGATAAATCTTTTTACAATGTTGCAGATAATAAGAAATGGATTTAGGTGGTATTAAAATATAAGTTCTCGTTGTGTAGGGAATAATTTGAAAGATGTCTCGAGACATGAAGAAGTAGCTTCCATCTTTCCAAAAGCCGAAGGGTAATTAAATGAGAACCACTGAGTACGAACGCAGGAACGCCCACGCCATGCATCAACCGTGACGTAGATAGGTAATGCTGCTGCAGATGGAGAAGATGGTCCTCGGAGATATACCCTCGGTTTCTACCTTAGTTAGGGTCAGCTATCTCGCGCGACCCATCTCCGCCTATCCAATCACACACTGCACACCGCGTATGGCACGCAAGCGATAATACACGGTGTCCCAATTATCCCGCGACACGGCAAGGCCCACGCTCTCGCCGTGAGAGCATTTTCAACACGCCCCTGCTAGTCCCCAACCTCCCCTTTTACTCCCCCCCTACCACCATA